TTGACACGGAATTTCTCGCTATAATGTTACGTTCGTTTGAAACAACTGAATGACGCCATTCACCTTTCATGACGACTGGAACTAATGGAAGACTACAGTATTACGATGCCTCTCATCCACCGACCATAGACACAAAGTGCGTAGTTCCCATCTCGAATTGATTATTATTGTTTCTGGTGTGACACGTCTCACGACTGATTAGCCGTTCCGAGACAAGGGTCATTGTCCAAGTTTACCACAGAGGATATTGCTATATAGAAACAGTTTTTGATTTATCAGATTTCTCAAAGAAACCGCTTGACCTCTGTCAATACGTGACCAAGCGTTTTCCTAGATTTTCTTTCCAGGAAGGATAAGCCAACCGGAAAATTGAAAGCGTCGCGACATCGTGATGTATCATGAATGTAGAGTTATATGTTGAGAAGATAATGATGGATTTGGCGCCATCTTCGTTTTCCCTAGATGCACATCATTCTGTATAATAGACAGTGCAATGTTTTTGATTTATTGTCATTACATAAGAGAAAGAAAAGTAATGTCAGTCTTTGATTTTATATTTGTAGAGATATTTTGGTTGATAATTCAAAATGTTGTGCACTGAAAGTTGTGTTTAGATTATGCAGGAGGCAGTATGCGTGTGAAAGACAGCATCATAAAATCCGAAACGGTTTGCGTAGGTGGAAAGGGACAACTGAAGTAGGTTGTCTAGCTGACAGATTCCATGAACCGAGTGCTAAACATAAAGTAAACAAATAATCGCACATACACATCGAGAAAACTACAAAAACCACTTAATCCAGATGGATGGGTGTCTTCTTCTTTATCAATGACACTTCCAAGGTATATACTGATGGAGCTAAGTAAGTCATGTTCACAACAGAGAGCAATGAACAGTGGAACCGACACGCATAAGAAATGAACACTCAAATCAAAACGCATGAGCAAAGACCACTGAAACCAATACGCATGAGCAAAGAACACTGAAACCAACACGCATGTGCAAAGAACAATAGAACTAACACGCATGAGCAAAGAACACTGGATCCAATACGCATGAGCAAAGAACACTGAAACCAACACGCATGAGCAAAGAACACTGGAACCAATACGCATGAGCAAAGAACACTGAATTCAACACGCATGAGCAAAGAACACTGAAACCAACACGCATGAGCAAGGAACACTGGAACCAACACGCATGAGCAAGCAACACTGGAACAAACACGCATGAGCAAAGAACACTGAAACCAACACGCATGAGCTAAGAACTCAGGAACCAATATGCATGCTAACGAGCACCAAACAAAATCAACCTCATATCACACAATGAAATAGAAAAATAGTGCAAACATTGCAACACGAGAAGCCCTTGAACCCTAGTATTGCGATTGTAACACAAAGTAACAACACATTTCAACACATATTAAGAATAAATCATAGTATAGTGAAATTAAGAATCAAATCGCATCATATAGCTTGTTCGTCCTCCTCGGCTTCTCAGGGCTTGTTGCGCTAGTAAATACTAGTCAAGATGAAGCGATGCAACTTAAACAATATTATAAACTTTGGTATGATTTTGTTACAACTGGTTTTAATTATAGATTGTCTTCATATTGAGACTAACTTAATGACAAAGCTAACAATACAAAATATATCAGGAGGGATGTTGGAATCGCTGGTCTTAATAGCCAGGTGGTCTTATTTTGAGGCGAACAGTAAGCGCGTTTTAGTTGTTGATCACAATACCTTACAATACTCTGTATCAATATTGCTACTGGATTGTGGTAACTGTCATATTGTAGATTTACATAGTGCCTGAAAACTGATATTGGGAATGCTACAGTTAAACTCTGCAAATAGAAATTTGATCTACCTTTTTAGTTATGTAGTAAAAAATAGTTTCAAAACTCATTATTTTGCGTTGTTTTTACCAGGTTTTCACTCGCCTATAGTTCTTTTGTTGAGTGTACATCAGGATTTGATAAATATGGCCACCTCTTCCTGTTTTATACTAAAACATATTACACAAGATCACGATTGTATTGAACACAACGCAATATGTTAGTGCGTGTTTTCCCCAGAAAATGCTGTGTTGTTTGTAGATGCATTGATTGATAGTCCGGCTCCAAAGGAAATGTCAAAGTGTAAACCAAAACCGTGCCAGGCTAAACACCAAAGCGGACATTTACATATAGACGCAATTTTTGTAATTTATCATATCGCTCTAGCAATAGTTTAGTTTGAATATCATGTCGGCTCTGATGATGACACATGTATCTGGGACAATACATCAGTTACAGGATCATACCAGGGACATCAGAAACCTAAACACAATCCGTATTCAAAGCATTTGTTTTGGTTTACATGGAAAACATCACTACAATAGTAACAGTGTGTTCGGAGAATGGTAAAATAAAAAAAAGGAAAATTATGTATGACATCCCTGATTTTTCTGTGATCTGTTACTTGGTTTGAATGTTGGCCATTCATTACTTCAATTTAATTTCAATTCTCCTATAAATACATGCAACATGCAAGAGATGCAGGAGATGCAAGAAAAAGAAAAATATATATTGATTGCATTGAGATGGGAAGCACATCAAGGGCCCAAGCTATAATCTCTATGGACGTTACAATTATTACAAGTCTTAACTAGTTGAAAAGTTATGGAGCGGACACAATTTTCCGTAGTTCATTAAAAGGGTACAATGAGAAGCTTCAGACATTGATCTTTGAAACAAGGACTAGAAAATAATAGAGGAAATGAAATTACATCACTTAACTGCCTTAGAAATAGATTGGTTTGTTCTTATGATGCCAACAATGGTGTTAAACGTTTTACTCTGGCAACTTCCTTAAGAGATGCAATTGTATATGTGTGTTTTAGAATGCATATGATAGATAATTGATCTTTGTACAGCAAAGTTCAGTTGATTACTAATTACAGTATCATTCATATGAAAACCAATAATTTCCATTCAGAACAATCAAGTTAAATCCTACTCCTTTCTATTCTTAACAAGGGCAATGAACGCTGACATATGAAAACTAAAAATGATTGATAAGAACTCAGGCAAAGGGAGTTACAAATTGCATCTCTCAATACCCAAGATGGCAGTCTGTAAGCCAGTCTGTCGTTCAAATTGGTTCCAAAATGCATTATGCACATACAACTAGGGATCAAGGGATACCTACATATGCAATTTGAGAGTGAATCATCTAGACCCTCTCAGGAAATAGCAATAGCAAATAGTAAACTACATGACATGAAGAAGGAAACCGCTTTTAAAGAGTCTAGATATTATGGCAAGAATGACTGTAAAGTTATGGAGCCGAAATAACACTCTGTAGTTCAGCATGTAATGTACAATAAAAACATCTAAGACTGAAGGACAAAACAAGCTTGCGACTGACCTTCACCAAGGGATTTACAGTCGTGCAAAGATGCACCCTGCTACCATCACTGGTTATAAACAAATGAACTTGACACGATGTTCTCTACTTCAATGTAGTTAAATGAATTAAGTTTGAGAACTTAGTCTTTTGAGCACAAACAAGCCTTTGGCACATGAGCAATATTCTAATAGTTGTTAACGACCATGCACACTGTCATCCATATTATTACAAAGTGGTCATTGATATATTTGTATTTTCAATTTGGCTTTTCTTTCTGTTGCTTCCCTCTAATGTTTTAATTGTTCTGTACGCCGCTCTGTTACGGCTTGTCACAAAGTTCGGGACGGACAAAGCCATTATTATATAGCGTTATAACAACAGCTAAAGTTATATGTAAAAGACGTCTATTAGGACTCCTGTAATTGTATCGAAAAACTACACGAAAAAACAATATATCAACATAATCATTATCCAAACTTAAGTTAAATATAATTAGGGCAAAAAAAGTATGACATGTCAGGTTCTGAAATAACAACAAAGTGTACAAAAAAAGAACAAACAGGAAATATACTTATAATCCCGTAGCGAGGTGTTTGCAGAGCAGATATTTAAAAATAAAACAATAATACTGACCTTGAATTGTAAGCGCTTTATTAGCTGTCTGTATAATACATCAGTATGAGAACTTTATTTGAAAATGTTCATGTGGTTGTTTTGACTGATCTTTTAACATTTTTCATTTCTGCATTTTTGTCGCCCAAATGTTCTTGGTCCTTATTACATTGGATTCATTAGGCCTTAAGAATATGATTGGCTAGTTTATAACCGAGGCAGTACATGGCGCCAAGTCATAGATTCTATTGCAAATTATTTATCGGATTTTCATAAACGTTTTACATACCTATATACATATATATATATATATATATATATATACATAGATGTATTATAATTCTTCACATTTACAGCATACTCATAAGATTATTAGCGATGTATGCAAACATTGCTCATTTAACAAAACCGCGTACTCTTGTATAAGCCTAAATCATCATCCGTAATATCGATTAATCGAAATATGATGATCGATTTTATTCATCTAGAGACTATGCAACGGAAATGTAAATGTTTTTAAAGCTGAACATCAAACTAAGGTAACAAGAAGCAATTTAAAACTGTGGTTAGTCGAAGCCATAAGACAGATTCCACAATGGAGCTTGCTTGTCCGAACATAAACAAATTGAAATACTTCATTTAAAATTATATAAATAGAAGTGTTTTTTTTTATTTAATCACACGTATCATAATGAAATAATCCAATATTTAAACATTTTTTTTCTAGAACCGTTCATTACATGTTTCTAACAAAGGTAGCAGGTAGATGGGCATACGGTCTTTTAATATGTTTGTCGTGGCATCGTCGATAAATCAATTTGCCAATATCAGTTATGTACGTACAATATCTATATATAGCTTTAGATGAAAGTTTGTAAAGGCTGCAACATACTGTTATATTTAGTAATGTTTCATCCAAATACATATTTCATCAATTTATTTGGATAATTTTTTTTTTATTTCTAATTTTCAAATTTTGCATTGTGTTTCAGCACGAGTGTAACGGGGCGCCTATGTCATTGAAAAGTAAAGCACAACAAAACCGGAAACGACGTGTAACGAGGATGGTGGCAGTTGTTGTTCTACTCTTCGCCGCCTGCTGGCTTCCGATACACGTTATTACTTTGTGGATGGCGTTTGATCCAAATTTTCCGTTAATAGACCCCCTTCTTATTTTCAAAATATTTTCCCATACATTGTCTTATGCTAATTCTTGTGTTAACCCGTTTGTGTATGCATTTTTAAACGATGGATTTCGAAAGGCATTTCAGAGAAGGTTTCCAAGTTTTAGTCGATGGTGCAGCTGTCTCTGCCGGAACCCCAAGGAATGCCAAGAGACTAGTATGATAGACAAGGCCGTGGAGGCTAGACCTGGACTGGAGCAGTCTGAACTCCTTACAACCACCCAAACACTGTGAGTGTAACTCTAATGATCGACGGTGAGCAATCGTGGAACTCTTGTACATATTTTGCATATTGTATATCGATCAGGGCATAGAAAGGCATATATTTCTAAAATATATATATACATTATTGTATGACATGCTATGTAGAGCATAAGTATAACTATAGAGACTAACATATAAATTATAGCTAACAATTTAATGAATGTTGTTTGTGGAATGACAACTAATCTCTATAATATTGATATTAGGAAAACTAATTTGACAAATCGGCATTAAATATATGCATGGTCATGTATCGTTGAACCATTGTATTTGTCTTCAATTACAGTAAGCGTGCGTGTACGTGATGGACCTATTGTTGTCGTTTAGACAACAATCACTGCGATAAACCACCAGGTAAACATAGATATTAATTTAGACTCAGACTCACTATTTCAATTTCCTATTGCACCTGACGGCATTTGAAAATCGTGTCAACAGACCATTCCACTAACTACTTTGTTCGGTATGATATTAAACTTGGCACAAGGCAAATATGACCGACATTGACCTGCGATATATGAAGTAATATTATCATTTCTATACCACAAGATTCATGTTCCAGATATTTGCGGCCATCAGCTCTTATATCATAAAACATATATTGATTCACGTTTACGCTGACCATTGTGCAATGCATGTGTAATAATTTTGCATTTGTTTTTTTAGAAAGACACTAGACTTTATCAAAAATTACGCTGTATAATTTAGCATAAGGTATGGCCGCAAACATCTGAAACGTAGGTAATGTCATTTTTCTCCATCACTGGCTGAGCATCTAAATAATAACGTCATGCGCAAAGCGTAAATTCATGCTTGAACATTGTGTTAGAGATGGTCTGTTGTGGAAAATGCATAGGATGCATTTTTTCTCTTTTTTTTTTTTTTTTTTTTGCATGAGGTGACGTGTTGCGAAATTTGCGTGTTCTTCCCGATTGACAGCATGTTAAAACAAAAATTGTGTAAACCATGTCACGCAATCCGTAGATTTTGTTATGTAAATACCACACTATTGGGGTGTGATGTGTACACAAAGTAATTAAATTTTATTGAAATTGTGTTTTAAACTCCTATTTCATCATTTGTAGTACAGCATGATCATATTCTTTGACTCAGTGTTATGAAATACTGTTTGGAGCTGTGTGACATGTTAAGGTGAGACTACTCAAAGTTTAAAATCATCCTTGAGAATGCAAACCGCAGGACGGATTGTAGATTGTAGGATGATAGATTTTTTTTCATAACTGTATTTTGTTAATCCATTTAAACTTATGTTTAATAACGAAACAAATTTCTTGTACATATTCAAAAATGTTCATGTTCACTTAAGTTGACTTTTGTTTGTCAATAACTGGAATTATACTGCACTATGTATTAAAATTAATTGTGTGCAAACATGTCAGTTTCCTCAGATATTTGATTAAATTGTTGTGATCAAACACAGACCTGATACATGTTTCGTGTTATTTTGTACAGTTTTCTGTTTTTGAGGGATTAACAAATGGTAAGGATGAAATTAATATAATTCCAAGATCAATTTATAAACAATTCTTTTCTATTTCAAAATTCAATTACTCAAAACGGTTTTCCTCATTTATAAATTGAATTAATGATCTGTGTTACGTTCTATATGCTCGGGCACTCCACAACTTTGGAACGTGTTACAAAGAATAGTGTATTACAATTAAAAGATATTTATTTTTCTATCATTATTTTTAATTACCAAAGTAGTGTTATGTGATATGTTTGTTTTATTGATATACATTGTCCTTATTACGACTTGACTTTAAATCTAAAGGTATTTGTGTGGGGGGAGGTGTGAGGGGGATGTGTGTGTGGGTGTGTGGGTGGGTTTGGGGGGGTGTGAAGTGTGTGTGTGTGGGTGGGTGGGTGAGGGTGTGTGTGTGTGGGTGTGTGGCTGTTTGTGTGGGTGTGGGTGTGTGTTGGGGGTGAGGGTGTGGGTGTGTGTGGTGTGTGTGTGTGTGTGTGTGTGTGTGTGTGTGTGTGTGTATGGGTGGGTGTGGTACGCTTCTACGAAATCATTTTGAGAAAGGCCACCCGAAAAGAGCTATTTTTGAATTTTTGAAAATCGTATCTCGTCTCTCCATGAAGGTAATATACAATGACAGATGGCAACTCTAGACACAAGGTGATAATAAGATATTGAATATGCATGTTCTTTAATGTTTATAAATAAATGTTGAGTGTGCTGTGGCCACTTTAAGAGCCGAGACCTTTTTTATTTGTAGAGACATATTATAAATTTCTGGAATACGTTTGAAGATGTTTCCATTCAAAGTCTTTTCTACTTGTTTTATCCAAACGAAAACAACAATTTTTGAAGCACTTGTTGCAAAGACAGTCGTATCGTATAAATAATGTTTATATGATGCCTTTTCTTTACAAAAAAACTTGTTAATATCAATAAATTCTCGTTTCATATGATCAGATATTCCTCCCAGGTAAATTTTCAGTTGTGTTTATACAATTAAATGAATAATGTCCATGTAATACACCATTATACACACACATAAACAGGGTAAAAATACTTCTCTCGTCGTATATCTGTATTCAACTAATTTTGTTACATGCTGTTGTTTGTAATGAAACAATATGTCACCTATTGTTAATCATTTTCTATTGTTAGTAGTTGTAATTAATTATCACATGGCTATTACATTATACATTAACATATTCTTTCCATGGTTGATTACTTGCTATGTATATAAATAATTCGAATATTATAAAGGACATATTGATATATTGTACAGGTAAACTGTGTGTTGATTTTAGACGTTAAATATGTTCATCCTTAGAAAACTAACACAAAATACTTCACATAACAAATCACAGTGATTGTCAACTATCTTTAAACGTCATTTATATTGTCTTTGTTTAATCATTATATACTTAAGAAACTAAACAATACTACCTATGTTATATATATGTACCGTATGCTGCTTTACATCCATGTCCGAAATATCGTTATGTATGTTGTGGCTAGTACTGACACCGGCTTGGTGGCGTCTATTTGTGTGTTTCACCATTATTACATGCTTCTTTTGATTGTAATAAACCATACTTGCCAAATTGGTTTTGTTATTATTTGACTTTAACTTATCGTTATTTTGGATATCTAAATCAGTATACAGATATTTACGGAAATGTGTTTACCTCAGAGATATGTTATTGCTTCCGGCGAGAAAAAAATATTATATGGTTAAAAAAAATCTATTGATATCACATGCCAAATCTGTAAATGCTTTGGTTTACACAAAATTCACCTAATTGTAATTTTAAAAATAACATCATTCAACGATGTTTAATTAACAGGAAAAATGAAAATGTTTCACAACACAGATGATATTTCTTTTGGAGATGTCAATTTCCTCTAACATCAAAACGCTATACATTTGTACGATTCAATTAACCAAAACACCAAAGCGCTGTTAAATACTTAAATGCATTGTATCTTCTTCCTATCATGAGAAAGCAAGTATCCTTTCCGATTGAGCTCCTACGTGCCAATGATATGAGGGCAGTAACATATTTCGTCTCCTCTGGCGTCTATTACTCTTGTATTCTCAAAAACCCCGAAACAGTCACTGAAACAAAACTGATTTAAGTAAAAGCCTTTATTTCTCAAAGTCCTTGATGATACAGTACATATGATAGAATATTTATTTCTAGAACATAAGTTTATTTTTATCAAGTGTCAAGGCTCTTTTCTTTACGTTTGACGTAAACAAAGCATTCAACCTTTGGTTTCAACATTTCAAAAGGTCAAGGAACATCAACATTAACAGACTTGGTGTCAACGCTATGCACTTGCACCTGAACAAATACTTCCACATTTGTCTGAAGATATGTTTAGTTCTGTTACGTTTCCCGTAGAAATGGATTCACTTGAAATAGTGTCTATGTTTACCCAATTACCTTATTATCGCTGCAGTCCTATAGACTAGGTTGTCGCCGTCCATATTATGTGTTGATCTAATTTTAACTTGGCTTTCTAACACTTACCAAATTCATTTATATATGCTATATCTAAAATAAATTTTTCGGAAATGTCACGAAAGACAAGGTATAGATGTAATCAGTATGAGCTGTGTCCAAATCCCATGTGGTGCGGTGAGCTCACAAGCCATCAGAACCGAATTATCGGTCTTTCCTAAAGAACATTAGATTTCCTAGAAAATCGGGTCAATGCTGTCATCTCAAAACTGTTGTCTGTGTCCATTTGCTGAAGCGAATAGCAACGTATCGTTGGTCGATGCATCTTGTTTACGAGAAGCAACGTCTTAAAATCCCAATGTAAAAAGTGGGGTGTGATTTTGAGTAGAAAACTGATTGTTTTAAAATTTGCTCATACATTTTGTTTAAGATTAATCTTTTATTTTTTATTGAAATAAAAGTTAAACAAGTGCGACAAGAACAAAATCGGACCAGTTCAATCATGATATAGAGAATATAACTCCGGATGAACTCGGTACGGAGAAAACCTCCGCTGCAATTCAATATCAATCCATTTCGGTATTTATTTGACCTGCAGATCTCGTATAATGCAGGATTAATTGTCTTCAGTTGAGGCATAATGGAACATCATACAAGTTTATCAATTCATCAAGACCAGTCCTTGTAAAAACTTGACAACTTGCGTTTAGCGAATAATTAAATTTGATATTACAAAGAGAAGTTTTTAAAATGTGCACAAATTCTTTGAAGGGCTCTAAATGTTAGAATTAAGAGGTAGTTGGAAAATTAATCCGAAATTAATCTGATAATGCCCAGTGATAATTCAGTTAATTTGTTAAGTTCCATATCAAATTTGAAATTGAAACTCTTGGAAGCATTTAACTGTCATACAATGTAGCGTGTTGGTTGATAATGAATCATTCATTTTTTTTTTTTTTTTTTTTTACTTCTTTTTTATCATGCCATTATTACGATTTGCAAGGGGAAAATGGTCCAATAATTTTATATAATTTTCTCTTTAATCATCTTAGTGCCATAATGTTGTCGATATGTGAAGCATGAAACCAGCTTTGGTAATATGTAAAACAAATTATGTCATTTTGATGATGACTACCTCGTAAAATAATGGAATTTGACAGGGTGTGATTTTAAACATTAACGCTGTTCGTTACGTATGTACAATACCATGACGATATTGACATATCGTCTTTGGGTAAACGATCTGAGTAAATGCTAATTAAAGTAAAATGTAGTGGAAAATTCTGAAGGCAATTCTCTCAGCTTCTGAATACTTCACCGAACAAACCCAAACTAATTTAAAAATTCATTTTGTTACTAGCGAAAATATTAAACACAAATAGATTAATCTGACAAGATTAGGTTAATTTAATTCTTAAATACTGGCATAACAATTTGAAGTAAACTACATATGATTTTTTTTCTATAATCTAAATATTTTCAAAAGTGTGATATTTTAGAGTGTTTTGAATATTGATGATAACACAAATATTAAATTTGACTTTAAAACCTCAAAAAAAAGGGGGTTTTGAATTTTGTTTCCTTTTCATTTGATTCCTCGCTATCAAGCTGCGTCAACATGATAAATCAATAGTGTTTGTCACACTATCTCTTTGGCACGATTCTATTTAATCAGAAATATTGAGAGGACAATAAAAGAGAGAATAGGCGCGATTTTCCGCTTTTTGATATAATACTTTTTCCGCTTTTTGAGCGATAATGGCGTGTATGTGTGGGTTTAAACCACGTCATGAGACCGCTTGGCATCACCTCTGTTGACTTACAAAACCAGCTTTATAGCTGGTTCAACATGGCAATGTCTTTTTGATATAGTCTTTATCACTAAAGTCCATATTTGTAAGAAATGGAGTAACCAGACTCTGTATCAAACGATATTACTATAGTCTGTATCATAAATATAATTTCACACAAATATTTCAATTTCGTTCGCCTTGGATTGAAATACTCGCTTGTTTGTTTTGTTTTTGTTTTTGTTTTTGTTTTTATTTTTTTATTTTTTTATTTTTTTTTTTGTTTGTTTTTGTTTCTTTTGTTTTGTTGTGTTTTTGTTTTTGTTTTTTGTTTTTTTCGTGTAACATTCATTTCGGAAAGGATATCGTGATTTAGATAAAAACCGAGTTCACACAGCATGTCATATCGAGTAGTACTACATACGCAACGCCAAATCTGATTTTACAGAACCAAAATACCTTTAATAGACAATTTAATATTGTTATTTAAGTCTTGGTAAAAGAGTTACCAACTCTTAATAACTACATGTGATACTTTTGACAAAATAAGAACAAAAGACACGGATATTCCTGAAAACTACAAAGATGATAAGACCAAATACAGCGGAAGGAGAAGCTTCTTCAGCTTATCGACGACAAGTGACCACAGTGAAGTGTACCCGCACTGACGTATGTACTGTGCGAGATTGTAAGTAACTGGTCGATTTTTTCGACTGTACTATTATCTTAGGAGAAAAAAAAACAGAAGAAAAAAGTGTGACGAGATGGTAAAACGATGGCAGCAATGTACTGTAATAGGTTTTTGTATCTTATGTCACCACAGTGTCAAATAAAAAGTTTTTCACAACGTAGTTAGTATATCATCGTTGTAAGTGTGGTGTAGATATCGGCCCAACCTGTCTGTATAATGTATTTTGTTCACGACAAATATAGCATCTAATAGTAATCGTCTCGATAATTATTTGGATTATGGGTGAACAGTCGTTAAATCCTGTGTCACGGATATGTCATAGACAGGCATAGCTTTATTGCA